TATTAATAATGCATTTAAGTTTATGTTATTATTACTTAATTATTATAAAATAACAAACGAACAAACAAACAAACAAACAAACAATCGATGTGAATTGTTTTGTTAATTAGAAGAAATTTTTTAAAGTTTTGTAGTAATAACAACAAAAGGTAAAGGTAAAGCTATTATTAATATGGTTATTTTATTTTTTTTTTATTTATTTCTTTATTGTAAATTTTTTTTTTTTCCCTATTGTTTATATCAGAGAAAGTAACTCTTATTAAAGTTTAAAAAAAAAAATTAAAATTCACGCAACGAACAAGAAAATCAGAGTGAAATAAATCAAAAAACAAAATTCACATGTTAAATAATTATTATTATTATTTTCTTTTTAAGTGTTTATTCTTTTACCAAAACAAAAAAAAAACCTTTTACGTGAAAGTGTTTAATTTAAATATTATTAATCTTCTTTTTTTTTTTAGATATCTTAAATTATTATTATCAAAATTTTGTAAAAGCAAATAAAGGTTGAAGTTATTGAACTGATTATTTTTTTTTTTTTTTTTGCAACTTAAGCCCAATTGAGGGAGAGATATTGATGTACGAATATCTGATACAAAAACAACATAAAAGACGAATCTGATATTTGATTATGACAAAAAAAACTTTTAATTAAATTTGTAAAGAGAGAGATAGAGAGAAACACCAAATAATATATATATATATATATACTAAATAAACTTACAAATTTTTTTTTTATAAATTATTTTAAAATTTATTACCTTGTAATAAATAAAAAAAGTGTATCATAAACAATATTAAAACAGTAAAGAAATTTTTTTATAAACAATTATAACCTTGACCTTACAAAGGTTTTTTTTATTTTTCATTATACCTTGACCATTCCTGATTTCATTTAATTTTTAAACATTTGTAAAAATTTTATTATTATTATTATTAACACATTCATTGTTAACACACAATTATTTTGATTTCATATCATGTTAAACATAAATAAATAAAATGTATTTAATTCTTTAAAAAAAATTCATTTTAAAAATAGATTATAAATCATAATTAAAAATCATGAGTAAGAAATTTAATTATTACTCATCAAAAAATTTTTTTTTTTTTTTAGAAAATCTCTTTCCTTTATTTATATTAAAATAAATTTTCTTAAAATTATTTTTTCTATAAATAAAAAATACAACTTTTAATAATAAAATGTACTCAAGTGTTTAAAGAAACTTGCTTCCATTATATTTACAACGACTATAAAATTTATAAAGGAAATAAATAAAAACGGAAACGTTTGACTAACGTAGTACTATTTTTTTCCCTCCTAAAATTCGCAATTAAACAATTAATAAATTTTTTTTTTTCTTTTACCGAGAATGTTTATGTAACAATTATTATTTAAAAAAAAAAAAAAAATTTCTTTTAATTTTGTTTACATAATAAAAATAATGGATATTATGGATGTAACGAAATTACATTTATCGCGCCATTTTTGTACGCGTAAACATTACTTTATTTAAAAAGATTTTATAAATATAATTTATTATTGGATTGAGATAAACATAATAAATGACAACTCTAATCATTTAGTATAATTAAAATTAATAATTGTGAAAACTATTATTAATAATTATAAACATAATTTTTTTTTTATTAGCTTTTGCTTTGGTTCCAAGCGAGATTTTAATGCAAAACAAGATTTAAAACTCTTGCGAATAATTTAATTTTAAATAATAATATATAATCTGGAAAAATCTATTGAGTTTTCTTCCTAACTGTATAATTTTCATATTTTTTCCCAGTGCTTTAACCTTTTTTTTAAATTTAATTAAAAAAAAAAAATTGATTGTTATTTGTTACATCATTGATTTTTTAACATGCTGATTGTTTTAATGATATTACATAACAATTATTAATAAGTTAAAATTCGAATTAATAGCATAATTAGTAAAAAAACTTTATATAATATATATTTTATAATGAAAAAAAATAAAATAAAGTGTTTTTGTAATAAGAACATTCACTTTACTTATTTTAGTTAGTTTTAATTAAATAATTTTTCATTGTCGATGGTTTTTTTATGTAATCAGTAAAAATAAAAGCGATAATTCTTTTTAAAAATATAATTTAAGTTTAAAATAATTTTTTGGCGCTTAGTATTATAAGTTTATTGTTTTGCTGGTTTTTTAAATTTTGCGCAACAAGTCGAAACAATTTGGCAACAAGCGTACAGCGTTTACAATTGAAAATGGAAAATTTGCCAAATGGACAAAACAATACAAATCTAAATGGATGCGTTGAAGAAGAAGTAGATTTAGAATTTTTACCACTTATTTACGAAATTATAAAAAGGTAACTAATTTTATTCGTACCTTTTTTTAAAAACTAATAAATTGTTTTGTCCTCATTTTGTATTTTTCCTTTGAAATGTTTTTTTAACAAAGGTAGTAGTACTTAAAAAGATAACTTCTGCATAGAATAAAAGACATATTTTATATTTTTTTTTTCAAACAAAATTAAAATTATTGAATCAATTTGACTTTATAAACTTTAAATATATAAAATTTAGTAAAATATTAATTAACCTGCTTAAATAATTTCTTTTAAACTTAATACTTTTATGTTGATATTTTGAATTTTTTGAATAATATTAATTTATTTAATAATAAACCTAAAAAGTAATTTTTTTGGTTATTATATTTTTTGCTGTTCAGTATCACATAATACTCAAATTAAATATATATCTTTTATTTTGCAATAATTTTTTTTTTTTAGTATTGAAAGAGATCCAGCACATGACAGCTCTCAAAAACCTCGAGATTCTCAAGATACAAGTGCTAAAATTCTTGAATTAGAAAAAAAACTTATTCAATCTAGGGAAAGGGTAAGTATTTTAATAATAATCAGTTTTGTTAATTTAAATTATACACATCAAAAAATATAGTTACAATCATACTCATACTTTTAGGTTAATCAGTTACCTGGAATCGAACACAGTCAAGAAGAACAACTTAAACAAGTAGAAAATTTAAGAAAACAAATATTATTAAAAAAACAATTACTTAATAAATATAGAAATATGTGCAATTTTTCTATGCCCAAGTAAAAAAAAAAGTATAATATAAATACAACAACAATGAGGTTGATATTAATTATATTAAACAACTTGATGAATAATGAGCAACTAGTAAGAAAATTAGCTGACTCATATCCAATGCGAAGAGCAGCTCAGTTACTCGTTTATTTTTATCATAAAAATAAAGAGACAGCATTGGAGTTTAAGAATTTGAAACAGTTAAATGGGTTAAACCTTGTACAAAAGCTGGAAAAAATTTATAAAGAATTAGAAAATAAAAAGAAAAAACTACAATGATTCATTATCAACATATTTTTAGTACTTTGTTGTTTAGTAGTATAATCGTTTATTTGGCATTATAATAATTATCAGTTATTCGAGAAAAACATATTTAAAAAAATTCATGAAATAAATGGCTTTATTATCATTATGTCACATATTAGTTTAAAATCTTTATAACTAAATACTTTTGTCTGTGTATAAAGTAAATCATTCGACTATGTAATTATTACCTAGAAGAAATAATATAAATGATATACTGAATGAATTTTTGTCGTAAGTTATTATAAGTAAGTAAGATAATGAAATAAAAATTTTAAGACTGATTGATTGAAAAATTTGAAATTGATGTTTAGTTATAAAATAATAAATTAGTATTTTATTCAAAAATAAATGTTTTGTTATATTAATTACTCTGTGCAATTGATTAATTCTTATAAAATTATAAACAAAAAAAATTGTGCCCCTTTTTTAAGCAAATTATTTCCACTGAGTTTTTTCAAACTGGGAAAAAAATTTTTATTGCAATTATTAATAAAATTTAACTTTCGAGCATTAGAAAATGACGCAAGCTCGTGAAGTTGTTTGATTTTTCAAACCGTTTTTTATATTAATGTTATCCTCTCCTAAAATAAAAACATTTAAAAAGTTATTTTGTCTTGTTTTGCACTGAGAGATTTCAATTAAAAGCATTTGATAAAATAAGTACGTACTACTGGTGTCATTTACGGTTTTTATATTTGATTTTTTCCATTTAAGTTTGTCAATAAGTTTTTTAAATGTACTTTTTCGTTCGACAACGACAGCATCATTTTCGATTTCATTTTGTTTTTTAGTTTGAACAACGACATGTTTTTCTACGTGAACATTATCCTGTTTCAAATTTTCATTTTTAAAATCATCAATTTCAGAATAAATTTCTTCTTCATGAGAATTTACTTCTTGTTCGTTTTGATTGCTTTCGGTATTAGATTTACTGTCACAATTTTCTGATTCTTTATTATTTTGTACATGATCCTGAGATAATTTTTCATTACTTATTTTTTTTTCATTTATTATACATTCTGAAGCGTCTTTTTGTGTTTTTATTGGCGGCAGAATATTTTTTGCTATAATTTTGTAATATTTTTAAAACTTATCTTTTATAAAAATAAAAAATTATTAATCATCTTACTTTCGTGGTTTTCCAATTTTAAAGCTTTGGCTAACACCATCGTGTGGCAACCACCACAGCTAACGTAAGTGCAGAAGAAACTCTTAAACATTTCGATGGTTGTTGGTGTGCAAATATTTGTCGATTCATCTTCATTACAGAGTTTTCCATTTCTCCCGTCTCCGCAAGTGTATAATTTTCCTTCATCTAAACAAAATGGAAATTAATATTATTTTTAATTTTTATAAATTATAAATAAAATTATGTAAAACATCAATAACCAGTTAAAAATGCTGAATGACTTTCGCCACAAGTCACATAAATCAAATTAACATTTTCATCAGTGAAATTAACTCTTTGAGGTATTGAAAATTCAGTTTCGAAATTTCCCAGTCCTAACTGTCCGGAAAAATTGCTTCCGAAAGCGTAGGCTTTTCCACTTTCTATAAATAAATTTTCATTCTTTAAAATCGTTTAATCGAAATTTAAAAAAAAAAATGTTTTAACGGTGGTGATAATTAACCGGTTAAAATAATTGTATGACTTCCTCCACATTTAACAGAAATACAATTTTCGTCTAATTCGACTCCTTCGGGAACATCGTTGGGAAGTTTATCTGATCTTCCTAATTTTCCATTATCGTCTTCTCCAAACGTATAAACTTTACCCAAACCTAATAAAAATTGTTTTTTTATTTATTTAAAAAAGTTTTAATTAATTTTAAAAATAAAAAATTTAACGATTTTACTTATGAATGCTGTATGATAATATCCGCACGATATTGAATTTATGGGATTTTGAAATTCAATTTTTCTCGGATTTAATAAATAATTTTCGTTTTTTATTCCACATTGACCATCTGAATTATCTCCCCATATGTACACACTTCCTTCCTCTGTCAAATTTGCAACACAAAATAACGGATTAAATTTTATTATTTAATTTAAAGGAAACTAAACAACTCCGATTATTACCGTTTTTATCTTACCGGTTAAAAAGGCAGAATGATGACAACCTGCTGATAAAGCTATTATATTATTTGTTTTTTCTAGATCAGTGGATATCATTTGTGGTACCCATCTATCATCTAAATCTCCAACCCCTAATTGTCCGTCAGAATTACAACCGAATGCGAATATTTTATTACATTCCGTTGATATCAACGTGTGACTTTTCCCACAAGCAACGTGTATTGATTGAAAAGGTTTTAATGATTTCAAACAACTTGGTTTATTAACGATTTTCGTATGGCCAAAACCGAGTTGACCAAAATCATTTTTTCCAAAAAGAAAAACCCTGCCGCTTTCTATAACACAATTTTTTTTTTTTTTTTTTAATTAAAACTTTTCATTATTTTATGAATTATATTAATAAATATATATTTAAAAATTGTATATGTAGAAGGACATTTATAATTAAAAAACATGCAACAGAGAAATTTCATTATAAAGTGATTGATTCATCCAAAGAAATACAAATTAATTAATAATTAATGAACGACAAGAAGCAATTTTGAGTACTCACTACAAACTAAAGCTGTATGTTCATCACCACATGAAATTTCTTTTACTGGATCATTTCTTACAAAAAAATGACTGGATAAATCTTCAGCAAACCTGCTTTTTCCAAAAGTAAAAACTGCACCGGTATCTGCAAAGTAGTTGCGAAACAATTTTAAACTTTAAAATTTTTATTCAAGCATTTTTTTCCATCACTAAATAATTTTTTGTTAATAAAAAATATCAAATAGGAAAAATCAATTTTTAACTTTTGTAATAATAAACTTTAAACTAGTATTAAACTTTTTTTTTTTTATTTTTTTTTTTTTTACCTGGAATTTCGTATTCAGAAGAATTAGCCATTTTGAGTAAACATTAATTCAAAAATTCATAACAAAGCAACAAGACTATTGAGGACTTGGAGATTAAGTCATTGTTTATTAAATATGGCTAAACTTATTTAAATTTATAACGGAAAAATATTGATTTGATTTTAGATTAAATATATGACGACGACTGTTATTTAAATTTTGAATCTTTTTAAATATTTTGCGGTGATATTTAAAGGTTTTAAAACTTGTAAATGTTATTATACGCATTATATACAATGTAAAATAAGAATACTTTTTACTTAATGAAATAAAGTACTTTAGGACGATTTAAAAAAAAATCAGAATAAGTATTTAATGAAAATCAAGGTTAAATGAAAATTATAAAAATTTATATATTGAGCTACATATAATATTATTTTTATTAAATAAATTACTATGCGTTTATAAATTTCAAAATGATTTTAATAATTAGCATATGCAATAGAAATTATTATGTAAATTAAATTCTATACACTTAAAAATTTAAATAAAAATATTGAAAGAAAATATTCGGGATCGCTATATATTTTTTATTAATTTTATAATGATTTATATTATTACTTCCAATAAAATTATTTCTAATAAATACATCAAAGAAAAAAATTTATAAACATTTTAAATTTAAAATAAGTACCAGAAAAATAATCGTCTCGTTGCCAATTATTGTAAGTCAAATCGTACTATGATAATAACATTTAAATATATATAAACTTGACATGGAAAATGTCGACGAAATCAAAAACGATAATAAATCAGAGGTATCACAACAAAGTGGCGTGACATTCGATGGTACTAGGTACAATTATGAAGATAAAGATGGAGTAAAATATTATTGGAGTTCTGAATTAAACAAGTGGGAAAAGTGTACAAGTAAACTAACCAAAATTCTTAAAGCTAATTTAAAATGCTTTTAGTTTAGCCTGTCTAAATATTATTAATATGATGTAAATAAATTCTTGTTCCTTAGACGACTCTACTGAAACTCAAAATTCCAAATCAGAAACACCTCAATATGGTTTTGATGGAACTCATCACACTTACACAGATCCTAAGGATAACACAACCTATATTTGGGATGGGGAGAAAAACGCTTGGTTTCCTAAGGTCTTAAATTTATATAAATGTACTTTATTAACCTTATTAATTATATTAAAATGTAATTCAAAATTAAATAATTAAAAATGGGAAATTTTTATTTAAGGTGGATGATGAATTCTTAGCTAATTATCAATTAAATTATGGATTTGTCGATAACACTACAAAGCCTGAAGACAAAACCGATAATGTAACAAAAGAAGAACCTTCTTTAAAGAAAAAAACTCCTCAAGAACCAAGTATTTTATTTATATTTTAATTTCAAGAGTGAATATCGGCAAAAAGAAGCTTATTGATAAAAATATGAATAATTTTAGGTTGGTTCGAAGTAGATGATCAACACTGCACTAAGGTATATGTTTCTAATTTACCTCTAGACATTACAGAAGAAGAATTTGTTGCTTTGATGCAAAAATGTGGTCTTGTAATGAAAGATATTAATACAAACAAATGGAAAATTAAATTATATACAGATAAAACAAGTAATGAATTAAAGGGTGATGCTCTATGTACATATATTAAAGTAAGTCATCTTAAGTTTATTATTAGTGTTTTATCGATTAAGAGATTCATTTATAAGTTTTTTTTTTTTTTTATTTCAGAAAGAATCTGTTGATTTAGCATTGAGTGTATTAGATGGTTATGAATTTAAGGGAAATAAAATTTCAGTACAAAGAGCAAAATTTGAAATGAAAGGAGAATATAATCCTGCATTAAAACCCAAGAAAAAAAGACGAAAAGAAAAGGAAAAAGAGAAACGAATCTTTGACAAGTAATTATTAATATATTATATATATTCTTATTCATCAAAAAATTTTTTTAACAATTAAATATTTATTTCAGGTTATTTGAATGGAAACCAGATAAACTTCGAGGAGTTCGTGAAAAACATGAGAGAACAGTTATAGTAAAAAATTTATTCGATCCTGTTATATTTGATATA